ACACACACACACACAGAGACACTATATCACGAATTCAAGCTAAATGAAAGTACAAAAAAGTGAGCTCCAATTTATAAGTATTTCTCAATGAAATTTTAGTTGGCTCACTAAATTTTAATTTGTCATACTGCAATGAATCTTTCACGTAATCTTTACATGGCATGCCAACTAACCATTGCATGATGTCATAAAAATTTTAAAATAAAACAATGTGCATTTTCACATTTTAATCTAAAGATATTATCATGTTCTTTATATTTCATTTTCAAGGTGAAATATATCGATTATGTGGAAAATCAATTATTGCATAATTGTCGATTAAGTAATTTTCATCCGTTTAGGAGACAACTAGTAATAAAATGTGACAGTGTGTAAAATTTGAAACAAAAACATTAAAATTTAATGATTTAATTAGATTAAGAGACCGCTAAGGAAATATACCCGCAAAAAAATTTATAATTCTATTATATGGGAGGCGAAGAAAAACTAAATCTTATTTTATGTAGGGGAAATACAAAACCACAAATAATGCATACTTGTGTAGTTCACAAAGGAAAAGTTTTTAACTTAGGATTGAAAAGAATAAACAATATAAAAATAAAATTTAACATTTTTAATTCTTGTTCAATACTGTATAATGAGTTGAGGCATATACTGTGCACTTCTTTTGGTGGGGATAAGTCACCAAGTTCTTGTAGTGCACGCATGCTCTGGGCATTAACGAGACTCCATCATCAGATATGAACTCGCTATTTAGTATTTAATCAATATATTCATTTATATTTGTTGCGGAACTCGCTCCAAAAATCTTCTAAATGGTGTTTTTTGAACTCTGTTTCACGTTACTTTTTCTGCCAAACAATCAATCCAAACGGTTTCGACCCACAACCAATATATTCACTTCGGTTGCTTCTCAATCTCACCCACAAAAGACAAGATACGGTGTTGATTTGCAAGCCACAAAGGCACGAGAAAAATAATGAATGAAGGCACAAAGAGGAGACCAAAAAATCAAAGGGAAGTCACCAGTTTTTCTTCTCCAAATGGCAGCCGGTTTTTCTCAGCAATATGGCAGCCACATCTTTCTCAAAGTTCTCACAAATCACACAAGAAAACGGCTAGGTTAAGCAATGTATGTATAAGAATAGATTAGGCTTTAGTTGGACCAATAAAGGGGGTTAAATGAGCCTAGACTAAAAGCCATCCAATCGATAAATATATCGGCCGTGAATAACATTAATTCCTTAAGTTACTTTCAATAGTCCACATTATTTTCGGGTAGGACCTTTGGACTTGGTTGTTGGTAATCCATTCACCATTGAATGAAGCCTGTGAAATTATATTCCAACGTTTTATATCATAGCCCGGGATTTGATGGATATCAAAAACAACAATATTTGTAGTATTTTAAGCCATAATATGTTAATTAATGCATTTTGTACAATATATAAAAATTTAGAAGTTGATTCTAACTTTTTTATAAAACTGCTGCTTGTTTATTTCATCATTTATTTGTAACATAATTTGATTATTTTTATAAGTTGCTGTGTGGGGAACTTATGGAAAAGAAGTCGAGAAATGCAAAGCTACTATTCTTGAAGTAGCAAAACTCGGATTTAACTCTACTCTATAAGCTTATCAGAAGAGTGAGTCTTTTACTTGGTGGCTCAAACTCGCGAACAACAGATTAATATGGTATTTGTTGTAAATAATCAAATTGTAAATGTTATATGCTCGTGGAACTTTTATGTCATGTATTTGATGTTCATTGAGTTGGCAAGACCTATATAACTAAATTGCAGATGAATCATGGTAACATATCTGTTTCAGATCGTAGTATGTTTCATGGTTTGGCCTTTGGCGTAGGGGATGAGAGAACAAGTCACTCTGAGCCAGTGACTAAAACCACCATCAAAATTTTCAAAACTTGAAATGCTGTCAAGGATATGAAATGAACACCGCAATCATCAAGAAGTTGGACACTGCTTAGGTTTTCATATAATTGACTTCCATAGCACATAAACAAGAACAATTAATGCAAACCCACCAACCCAACTAGTCGACTCTTACTACATGAAAAGCTGAAATATTTATTATGGGAAGCCTTAAATGTTGATTGATGCAACTCAAGTTGGATAAGGAAAGAGTTGGAGAACTTTCTTCCAAGATGGCCTGTTGCTGATAACATCCCACCATGCACTCACATGTTTCCTGTCCCTAATCATGTACCCTTTCCCAGCACCATTCAACAGGTAATGACCAAATGGAAGGTGGCTAAGATCAGCCAGGCTGAAGAAATCCCCAGCCAAGTATTTGCTGGTCGACAACCTTTCCTCGTAGATATCCAAAACTTTCCCCAGTTTCGCCTCGTTTTCTTGAATGACTTTCTGATCTGGTGTGATTCCCAGTTTGGAGCTGAAAACTGTATGAAGCACTAAGGTGTAAAGTGGAGGGTGAAAATTGTGTGCTTCCACTTCTAACCATTGTTCTACTTTGCCCTTCTCCTCCATTGTCTTTCCAAACAGTTCAGTTCCTTGAGATTTGTACTTTTCTACATAGTAACGGATTATAGCCCTGGATTCTGCACAAAATATGAAGTACTAGGTTGTAATAAGTCGAGATTTATAACTCATTTTTCTTCTTTAATCTTGTCATGTCCAGTAGAGTGTATCAAACAAAAGTAAGAGTCAAAGAGTTTTTACCATATAAAGTGTAGTCTCCATCTTGGATGGCAGGAAGAAGCCCGAAAGGCTGGAAAAGTTTGCAAGATGACAGAGTGAATTCCATCAATTTTCACAGGGAAGAAAGAGAGAAACATAAGAGAAGAATACCTGCAACTTGAGATAATCAGGGCTTTTGTTCTCTCCTTTGAAGAGATCGATATCAACCACCTCAAATTCAATCTCTTTCTCGACCAGGCAAACAATTACACGCTTACTTGAAGCATATTCCGGTCCATAAACCTTCACCACCATTGCTGCTAGTTCTTGCCTCTCTTCTTATGCATTCAAAGAATAGGCCTACTAGAATTATATATATCTACTTTCCTACCGAACCCGGCCTCATTTTTCAACATAATGCAATGCAGGACACTGGACATTTATTACCACCAAAATTTCACTTTTTTTTGGTCAACCGACAACATTTTTTTCATGGAAAACGGTTTCTAATTTTTGTTAGGTGAGACTGAATTTATGACAGATTTCAAAATTATATGTTGTAACCCCCAGGGATGGATTATATATGAAGGGGAAGGGATAACATTAATGTGGCTGTAAATATAGTATAGTCTGTGCCCAGAAATGTCTCTTTTTCTCATGAAGTTGATAGCTCAGCCTTCAAAAAATAATGGCTTCAAAGAAGATATGTTCAATTTGTGCACGGAAATGCCTCTTTTTTTGTATCTTACGTTAATAGGGAGGACGAATGCATTTGGAAANAAATGTAATATCTCTGCCTTTTGACACCTTTTAAATGCAGCTTCAATATCCCTGCAAGTACTAGTACAAATATACTTGCAAGTAATCTTCCACCGGTCATTTTTTATTTTGGGGGTGGACCAAAAAAAGTCAGGGAATTATGTAAAAAGGACAAACTATACAAATTATGGCACCCATTTTTTTCTCATTCTCATTTTCATTCTTTTTTTCTTTTTTCATTTCAATAACACATTCTATCAATATAATAATATTACACATAAACCTAACAATTCTCCTTACTTTTTAACTACACATTCTTCCATCAATCACTATTCAAAAACACATTTTTCCACAAAAATGGGTGTCAAAAAGGTTGGGGACTGAAAAGTTCGATGTTAAATGTTGAAGATATATTTGCCATAGATATTAAAGGTCAAAATAATAATAATAATAATAATAACAGTGTGACCACAGAAAATCAAACCCCACATTGTCGGCAGCCACAAAATAGAACTTGTACTATTCTTGTTAAAAACTCAAGTTTCGAAATTTAATTGCTTTCAATCTATCTTCTTCATCAAAGGCAGAAATCCATGACGCAGTTAAATGAGAACACAGCCCTTACAAAATCAAAACACATTTACAATGGCATTGTAGCAGGGAAGAAAATGGCCAAAAAAGGACAGTCAACCATTTTATGTAGAAAATGTAAACTGTAAAATCATTTCACTTGTAAAATAGAACATAACAACATGATATTAAATGATTATCATCATCTAAGAGTAATACTATTCATCTAGACTCAACACCAATGAGCCGCACTATCCAATGTTTAAAAAAGTCTAATGTCTAGATGAATAGCATTATCCATTATCTAATGACTAGGAATGGCAACAAGGCGAGAGAGGGACATGATGGGATCAAAGATTAAAATATGAACACTTACCCAATTTCATGTTGTGGAATACCTTGGAGTAGCTATCGTGAACATCTCTTTAGGAAGGTTACCCTTTTAATTAATCCCCAAACAAACAACATCATTTCAGTTTTGGCTTCAAAAAAAAAAAAAAAAGGGTTACTTTTTCATGCTAAAAATGTAGGAAATTAAAACCAACAATAATGTTTACCGTCATAAGATCGTTCATGTTGGATCATCAAGAAATAATTAACCAAAATCGTAAGCGTACTTGGATCAGACATGATTATCGCAATGAATAAGTCCTGCGGTTTCAGTTAAAAAAAAAAAAAAAAGGTTACTTTTTCATGCTAAAAATACACTAACACGTCTTCTACCCTAGCGTTCACCAGCAATGTATACTTGATACAACGAAGTGAATGGACAAAGCACAAAGCATTCAACGAATATGCTATGAAATGAATGGCAAAGCAAAATAAAGTAACTCATGAAATTTTAAGATTATTTTCCTTTCACTTTATGTAGCTCAACCATTTACGAACAAACTTGCTTTCGCATGTTAAAGAAAGGGAAGCCAAAAATATGGAGTAACTTAACAGTGTTCTATTGCGAAGAGGAAGCCGAAATGCATTCAACATTTCCTTGTGCATTTTCATTTTGCTCAGGTATCAAAACTACATTATGAAATCCGTTAACCTTCCCACACAATTGAAAAATTAGCATTAATACATCAATCATTTTCACTTAATATATATAACAATTAACAAAGACAGTGAGAAAAGTTAAAACAATCATATTCTAAACGGAAAATAAATTAATTATCAAATTCAAGAGCTGCTGAAAGCCTGAAACAAGAAAACTAAACATAAATAATACCTCAAATTCTTAAGAAACCCATAAAAAAGAAGACTATAATATATAGATACATTTTTCATCAGTAAAAATCAAATAATTTCAGAAAATAAGCATGTTCAAGTCAAAAACTCAAAAAACTTTCAAACAAAATTAAAAAGAATTAAGCTAGTTGTACAACTAGTTTGGCATTGTTTGAGGTGGAAAAATCGAGACCGTTGATTTGAATAAGTATTGTTCAAATCAATGACAAAATTGTGTCACACATCATGTGATGTAAACAAAACTGTCAACCAAGATGTAATTGTAGCAAAACTGAATTAAAAAAATTAAGCATAATTTTGAGAAGAGTTCACATGTAAATAGAAATAACAGATTGTTGACATAATAGATGTGGATACAGTAGCAGTCCACCAGCAATTCTGGAATATCAAGTCCCTGCTATGAACCAAAGCCAAAATTTAAATACAGGAAGAATGCTACTATTTACAGCATCTTTCAAGGAGGACTCATTTACTTGTCAAGATACTGAGTTTATTTTATATGTGTGCATCTGCATGAAACAATATATTAAACAATGTATGCATATCAAAGAGTAGATAACATATACTTTCAATAAGCAATGTTATCTTCATTTCAAACAGGCTACAAAAGGATGACATAATTCATTTCGAGAGCACATATTAAAAACTAGGAATACCAAATAGATGGAAGGAAAACGTGAAGAGGCGAAGTACCTATTCCTTTTTACCTGATTACGTGAGCCAAAACAATCTTAATAGATTGTGTTACCCATTCCATTCAATTCATCGCTGCTTAGAACATTCAAGTGTCAATTATACAAGGATTAGGCTATCAATCTACCACAAGCCTCCTCCTCTACTGAGCTTGAAACCACTTTTAAAGATATATAGGCATCCACAATTGTATTGGTTCAACTCATACTTATCTCAATTTCTCTATTTCTTTTGCCATTGAGTGCACTATTTGCCATATCTACTTCTCCGACTTCATTTAAATAAGGCTGAACAAATTTCTCCAAAACTTGTATTTTAGTAATTGTTGCAAGACTAGGCCACTTTTTAATCTAATTCCTACTATACAAAATTCCTAAAACTTGCATTCGGGGTTTAATCATCTTCTCAAGACTGCAAATAAAGGATCCTGGATTGCTAACAATACAAGAAATATCATACTTCTCTGTGGCAAGCAAAACCTCTTTTACTTCCTTCAGCTTCCCCTGCGATACAGCAAACACGGCTGGGAACTTTTTAAACATTTTCAAAATGTCATCTTTTGAAAACCCCAATTCGCTAAAATGCTTTTAACTTTAGTTCCCAATTCTCATCAGCCATCGAACTAACAACCTGAACAGCATGAATAGACAATCTGGAACTTCTACAAGTCCCCATCTCATCAACCTTTTTAACAAATTCTTTCACATCTGTTGGACTATGCAAGAGAAACCTTGGAAAATTATATATATGCATCCTGACTTGCTCCATGTCTACACCACAACTCTTTAAGATTTCAATATTGGCTACCAAATTCTTTTTCAAATCAGATCTCAAGTACTATCCAGAAATCCTAAAAACCTTAGCTACCTCTGCACTGGATCCCAACAAGCTCATCAACCCTGATAATGATGGAATGACACCATTATCCAAGCTGCGATACAAAATCGATGGTGTATTTGAAATTATCTCAGCAATGTCTTCAGCAGAAAAGCCCAAATCTTGGAAAATCTTAATTTTGGGTTTCATTGTTTTCTCAAGACATGCAGCGAGCAACCCAGGCCGATTTCTCACCATTTTCTCCAAATGATTTTTTGTAAAACCACTCTCTTTGAGGAACGATAGTATTGAATTAGATTTTTCCGGATTCTTTATAAAGGTTAAAACAGAGGCAACTTGAGAAGCAGCTTCAAGGAAAAAACCAGTCTTTCCATAGCAGAAAATCGTACTCTGTAAAGGTATTTTTCGTTTCCCTTTTCTGCGAGGTTGATAAAAATACGAAAGAAACATGTGATTTGTACAGAAATGAAGGGTTCTTGGAAGAGAAAAAGATGAGATTTTTGCAGATATGCAGTGTCATTATGATCGAAAATTGAAATTACATATAAACGTTTAGGCTTGGAGAATGATCTTCAATTGAATTTTCTAAAGAAAAAGTACCAGTTTTGCTCTCGATTTGGGGATAATAGCTAGCTATTGGAGTTGATTGTCTCCCAATGTCAAGTATAAAATGTCACAGTTTGATCACTAAATAGATCCTAACAATGTAGCTCACTCGTATAACGTCGGTCTCAAACCGTTAACAAAATTAGTGTCGTGACTAACGGAATGCACGTGTGGCATCCGTCACATCGTTAACAAATTGTTATGTCTTCAATTGCTCACTAAACTTTAAAAATCTTAAATTGCTCACTGAAATTTGAGCTGTTTGAATTTTGGTCATTAAACTTATAAAAATAACGTTGGATTGGTGTTCGTTAAAAAATTAGTACCACAAGTGCACGAGTCATATAAAGTAATAATGTAGACAAATGCGTCTGGATTGTCAATCCCACGAGAAATTGTTACTCAATTACACAATAATTAAATCTAATTTTAACATAATTTTGTAGAGTTGTAAGATATTTTCACCATTTTAAAAATGCAAATTTATTGTGTGCTTCGTTGTTAAATTAAATAAAAATAAAATTTGAATTTTCTAATGAAACACAATAAAATTAATTAAAATTTGAATTTTTGTAACAAAACACATAATCCATTTAAAGCCTGTCTGACAATCATTTTGATAGAATACTAGTGAGAAGCACGTGCAAGGCACGTGCCATGATATAGTTGACTACGTAATAGCTTAGGTATTAAAAAAAAATATTTATGTCAAACATTAGTTACATAAAATTTTCTTATAAGTTGCTAAATGTTTCGAGGCAACATTTAATGTGGAGATGAAAAAAATCACACCCATAGTTATCGAAGAAATCGAGACTCTAAAACAAAAAACTAAAACAAAAAAAAAAAAAAAAAAAAAAAAAAAAAAAAAAAAAAAAGGTTAGCCGAGCCGAGCTATAAAGCCATTTGGCTCGGCTGTAAACAAAATTAATCAAAGGAAGGGGCAAAAAAAATAGCCGAGTTGAGTCGAGTCATAAAGCCGTTTGGCGCGGCTCGATTCACGGCTTCTGGACAGTAGAGAGAAAGTGCCTCTTTTATTTGTGTAGAAAAAGGGTTTCAAACAATGATTTTTAGGAAAATGTGTTATTAAAATGTGAGAATTTTTTTTGGTAATGGAATATTTTATTGTGTAAATGTGTGGTTGAAAATAATCTTAAAGCAAATCATAAAATAAATAAAAAAGTGTCAAACAGGCAATTAATTAAGTTTGTTGTGTGTTTTATTGTCAAATTCAAAACTCGACATCTTAAAATTTTAATGAATAATTGAATACATGGACATAAGTTCAGTGACCATTAGGACAAGTAATTATAACTATTGTCATTAGAAGAACACTATCAGAGTGTAAAGGAAACCTCCAATTTGCGTCCCCAATCTATGGTTTATGAAGCAAGCAAGTTCTCAACATTTGAAAAGATGCAAATCAGTCCTCAAAATTGGCAGCAATTTAAAAGTTAAAATAGTAACTCTCTCTAAACATGTTTAAAAATAAAAGTCTGTCGACGGTAAAGCTTTCTCATTGATGTTGTGTGTTAAATACAATCACAACCACCCCTCGGCTCCCTCGCCCATGACTTCATCTTTAAGCATTGATCACTTTGGTCCAATTTTCATGAGGTAATAATGGAAATTCTATAAATGTTCATTTAAAGAAACAAGACCAGAATCAACTCTTGGTTATAGTATAGTGCGATCCATTTCTTTCTATAATTTAGAATAAAGTTGTCAAATGATTAAATTTTTTTAAGTGACAAAAGTTTATTAGTTTGAATGCATATTATTTTAATTTGAATTCATAGAAATTAACTTTAATAAATAATTTTAGAGTCGAATTATAGTCCTATAGCTAGAACCGAGATGTATTACCACCCATCAATTCTTAATTCTTAGAACTAGAACTAATTACAGTTTAACAAGAATCGAATTAAACCAACTAGTTTGATCCCATTTGGGTGGTTCCAGGTTCCAGAGAATTCATCAACAATTCTAGAGAAGTACTGTCAAATTCCTCCTATGAATCAAATCCAAAATTCAGAATACATGAAGATATTGACTTTATTCTCAATATGTGCATTTGCATCATACAATTATAAAGCAATATATCTTATTTGAACATACTCCAGAAGGATGGCATAACTCACATAGCAGAGTGAAAAATCTGGACTAGATCCGTCTTTAGAAATACAGAATTGCAGCCAATCTTCACTCAGGCTCAGAATGACTATGAAGGAACAAGGGCATCAACAATCATCTAGATTGAACTCATCACTTAATCCCAATTCCCTATTTGTGCATTTGCACAAGGCATCAATAACCAATGTCTTCAGAGCAAACAGTTACAACAAATACATAAAATAAAATGTCAAATCTTTACTATATAGCATGTTCGAAAAGGATGACAATTCATTTCAGCAGACACAAAAAAAAGAATTGGTTAGAACAATATTTAGATAACCAGGTATACAAAACATGAATAACTATCTAGCTTAATCAAATTCCTTAAGCCATCACAACATCAAACTTTAATAGGTGGTTAACAAAAAAAGAATCAATTGCTATATGAATCCTTTTTCTGTCTAGATCAGTCTGTCGCTACTCCAGATGCCTAATGAAATTTATATGAGGGTAGATGTCACAAAGTTTTATGCGACCCATCAACCTACCACAACCTTCCTTGACGCAGGCATGGTATGGACTTTGGTTAAACATAAGCATCAACAAATATCACTTAAATCCCATTTCTTTAAGCGGATGATAAAATTGTAGCATCTCTTCTGCCTTTGAGTGCACTATTTACCATATATAATTCTCCTACTTCATTTAAATAAGGCTGAACAAATTTCTCCCAAAACTTGCTCTCTGGCAACCTAGAAATTGTTGTTAGACTCGGCCACTTCTTAATCAAATTCTTATTATCCAAAATTCCTAAAACTAGCATTCGGGGTTTAATCTTATTTTCAACACTGCAAATAAGAGATGTTGGATCGTTAACAATACACGAAAGGTCGTACTTCCCTGTCGCAAGCAAAATCTCTTTTACCTCCTTCAGCTTCCTCGGCGATACAGCAAACACAGGTGGGGACTTTTTAAACATTTTGAAAATGTCATCTTTTGAAAACCCCAATTCGCTAAAATGCTTTAGCTTTAGTTCCCAATTCTCATCAGTCATCGAACTAACAACCCTAACAGCATGAATAAACAATCTGGAACTTCTACAAGTCCCCATCTCATCAACCTTTTTAACAAATTTTTTCATATCTGTAGGACTATGCAAGAGAAACCTTGGAAAATTATATATTTGCTTTATTATTTGCTCCGTGTCTACACCACAACTTTCTAAGAATTCAATATTGGCTACCAAAGTCTTCTTCAAATCTATTGTCAAGTACCACCCAGAAATCTTTAAAACCTTAGCTACCTCTGCACTGGATCCCAACAAGCTCTTCAACACGGATAATGTGGGCATGAACCTATTATCTGCACTACGTTTCAAACACCATGGACCATTTGAGATTATCTCAGCAATGTCATTATCAGAAAAGCCCAAATCTTGGAAAATCTTAATTTTGGGTTTCAATGTTTTCTCAAGACTTGCAGCGAGCAACCCCGGCCGAGTTCTCACCATTTTCTCCAAATGATTTTTTGTAAAACCACTCTCTTTGAGGAACAATAATATTGAACTAGATTTTTCTGGATTTTTTATACGGGTTAAAACAGAGGCAACTTGTGAAGCAGCTTCAGGAGAAAAGTGGTGTTTCTGTAGCAGAAAATCGTACACTGTAAGGGCATTTTTCGTTACCCTTTCCCGCGAGGTAGAGAAAAATTCGAAAGAAAAATGGGATTTGTACAGAAATGAAGGATTTTTAAAAGAGAGAAGGACGAGACTTTTGCACATACGTAGATTCATTATGACCAATAACTGTAATTACATCTATGAATCATACATGTTGACAAAGAAGAGTACTTGCCTTAGAATTGGATACTCATACTACTAGGTTCAAATTTGAGAGGCGATTGCTCTTTGTGAAGAAGTACCAAAATTTTGCTCTCGATTTAGGGTTTAAGGTTCTCCAGTCGAATGGCTATTTTTGGGCCGACGAATGAATTTAGGGTGATAGTATCTCGACAAATTCAGGCACAGAGCAGATGAATTTTATTGCTCTTTTCCAAAGAACAGTTGACCCCGAATGTTGTAGAAGGTATTGTTGATCAAAGTTTACCCTGACTTCCATAAAACAACATTTTTAAAGAAGGAAATTGAAAGTAACATCATATGAAAAGTTCTATTAGGATTTGCACGAAAAATAATTAGTTAGTGATTTTATTTCCCCGTGAATGTGGTACTTATCTTTCACCATGAACTGGGCACTACTTAAATGTTTCAAGTGGAAGATGTCATTCTAAATCTAAATAAACTTTTCATCCCGATGGTCTACTTCCATAATGCATAATTAGATTCTATATTAGCTTCATACAAAATTGTAGTTGTTTTCACCCACCAAATGTAGTGGTCCGCCTCTTTGATATTGAAATTGTATAAGAGGTCAATTGGAAGGTAAGTTATTAACACATCTCACAGTCTTCTCGTCATTCGGTCTTTTGTTCAGAACATGACTCTTTATGGCTGATCATTACAGTGCAAGGACCAACTAAGAAACTTGACAACTGGGTATGCATTGAGACTTGATTACCTTATTCATCTTGTCTCTTTATAATTCTTTTATATGTATTTTTATGACCAAATTAATTGCAGTTAAATTTCTCAGAAGAAGTTGCTTCTCACTACTTTTCATGATCAACTAGTAAAGAATGTTTTAATTCAGTTATATGCGAAAAGAGGAGATGCCTTTCTTCATCTCATTTGTGGGAAGGTAATGTATGAATATATTTAGTAAGTGTTTATTCTGTGCTTGTGCAGTAATTTTTTGCATTTGCTTCAAATTGAACCCCAAATATGGATTTGATCAAGCCTACAATGAGGGTTTTTATGATGATTTTGCAAATTTAAAGCTACAATCTTGTCATTCTATCAAAAATATTGGTCAAACTTAAACTCAACATACATTTTTTCAGATGATATTGTTAAAGCATTGAAGCTTTCTTTAGAGCTCGCTTATATGATTGTTTTTCAAGCACTGATGTTCGAATCAACAACATGCTCATTTTGAATCTCCTTGCTTAGTTTCCCAATTCCTAAGTATACATGAATTATGTTTTTTTGAATCATTTTCATTATTCTTGCTTTTATGCAAAATATTTAACTTCTTTTATCCGATGTTAACCTACGGAGTCTTGCTCTTAATTTTGAGTAGGATCCGTTTGTTTATTTTTGATGATTAAGGTTGATTAGGGTTCTACTCCGTGATGGGATCAAAATCCTATATTTATTTGCCAAAGATGATAAGCAGGTTAATAAGAAATTGAATTTCAAAGTGATGAATTGGAAGATGTTTTGTTGTGTTGGAAGGAAATTAATTCAAGTTATCCTACATATGAAAATGATGAAGGTCATGACCACTTTATATATGATTACGCTGTAGAAATGTGTAATCATGTGTGGCATAGAGACTCTCTCCACATGCGCGCCAGAGGCTGCAAATCGAGGCCCAAAATTGAGCTTCGAACATTGAACTTGTGTGAGGATGCGACCTACGTACACGAATGTCGAACCGAACGGATAAAAAATTGACCATTGTGGATGGTCAACGTTTTGCCTATATTTTCTATAAAATTTTTTTATTCTCTCCAAATAAAACCTTCCAAATATACTTAACTCGTGAAACTCATATGATAATATTTGTGTTAATGGAGAGATTTAACACGGCTTTACAGTGGTGTTAAAGGTTGAAACACCAGTAATCCCCAACCGATTAATTCTCCATTAAAGCCTACTTATACATGCAATTTTCCTTCATTCTAAACTTACGGAATTCCATATTGTTTTCATTTTCTCCTTTGCTCGAAAATATCTTCTGTTCCTGTTACTGTCAGCTTGAAAATTTTCAATTTCATCTAAGTTTTGGTGGTAGTGTTCTGATAGAAATTCAGTTCGTTGGAGTAAAAATGACGTGCTCGATGTTTTATTGGTTTACCCTTATTTCTAGGAGACCTACGCTCGTGAGAATCCTCAATACGTACGGTGAGGAGGTGAATCTGTTTTAATGAAACTGTGCAATACACAGGTCTCAGGTTACAAATTCATCTCAGTTCTGCAATTGAAATATTTCCGCAAATTTAATTTCATGTTTCCGTTCAATATTAGACCATAAAATTATTTTTATATTCCGCAATTTTAATAAAGTTACCTGTTTACGTTATTACTGTAATAAATAAAATTATATTTTCTACAATTTTGGCTAATAAACATAAAACATATTAAAAAAAAAAAAAGAACAAAAATGTTCTTATATTGTGGTTTTAGAAACTAATTTTGATTTGATTTTCAGAAATGGCAACCGAAGAAACTAACATGGTTGTGACCCAAATTGTGGCTACTGGAAATCAAGTTGTGGACTTTGTTGTGGTTGAAGAACCAAGCTTTGCTGTAGCTTAGACTATGGCTAAATTGCCAAGTCATGCTATAAGTCAAACTATGGCTCCAACAAATGGCCATACCATAACTGTTCCGGTTAGTCATGGAAAAATATATGAGAAATTCAATGGCTTGAATTTCAAAAGATGACAATAGAAAATATTGTTCCACTTGACCACCTTGAATCTTGTAAGGTTCTTGACTGAAATGGCTCCGAAACTCAATAAGGACGATGGAGATGTCTAAGCTATCAGCTTACTTGACGCGTGGAAACATTCGAATTTTTTGTGCCGAAACTATATCATGAACAATTAGGCAGATTCACTATACAACGTCTATAGTACGATGAAAGCTACTAAGGACTTGTGGGAGTTTTTGGATCGAATATATAAAATTGAAAACGTCAGGGCTAATAAATTCATCGTCGTCAAATTCTTAAATTATAAAATGGCGGACTCAAAAATTATAGTTAGTCAAGTGCAAGAATCACTTCTTCATGAGATTCATGCCGTTGAGATAATTTTGAGTGAAACTATTCAAGTTGCTGCAATTATTGAAAAGTTGCCTCCAGAGTGGAAATATTTAAAAAAATATCTTAAGCATAAGAGAAATGAAATGAAAGTCGAAAAACTGATTGTTAGATTTCGAATTGAAAAAGACAACAAGAGTTAAAAAAAGAAGTGGTTCAATCCTGGTGCGGCTAAAGCCAATGTTCTGGAACATGGTCAGAGTTTCAAGAACAAGTCTGGGCCATCCAGTGGCAAAGAGACTAAGATGGGACTCAAAGGTTGCATTTCCAAGAAGAAGTTTCAAGAAAAATGTTTTAACTGTGATAAAGTGGTTCATAAGTTTTCAAAGTGCAGGTTGTCGAAAAAGAATAATAAAAAGAACCAATTGTGATTGATTACATGCCACATGATGTGTTTGAGATGAATCTCACTATTGTTATTTCTGAAGTGAATATGGTGGGTTCGAACCCAAAAGAGTCGTGGATTGACACCGATGCTACAAGACGTTTGTTTTTATAAAGATTTATCTACTGCGTTCGAAGCAATTGAGAATGGAAAGAAGTTGTTTATGAGAAATTCAGCAACTTCTGAAATCAAATGTCAAGGATGACATCGGGAAAAGAGCTGACTCTTAACAATTATATGTGTCGAAAAAGAACTTACTGTCTAGGTCACTTTTGAATAAGTATGGTTTCCATATTGTGTTTGGGTCATATTAAGTTATTTTATCTAAGAGTGGAATGTTTGTCAGAAATGGTTATATTTTTGACAATATGTTTAAATTAAATATAATGGTTGTAAAGTCGAAAATTAATATAGTTAATTCTTCTGCTTATTTGCTCGAGTCTCCCAGTTTGTGGCATGGTAAACTAGGACATGTTAATTACGATACTTTAAGTAGATTAGTTAACTTGAATTACATACCCGCGTTTTCATATTGATTCTAAATATAAGTGCGAAACTTGCGTTGAGACAAAATTGACAAGGTCATCATTTAAATCAATTGAACGGAATACAGAACCACTTGATTTAATTCACAGTGATATATGTGATTTAAAATTTGTACAAACAAGAGGTGGCAACAAGTATTTCATTACTTTTGTCGACGATNTTTAAATAAGGTGTCACGAAAGAAAATGGAAAAAACCCATTACGAATTATGGAAAGGAAGAAAGTCTTCCTATAAATATTTACGAGTGTGAGAGTGTCTTGCTAACACCAAAGAAGGTAAAGATAGGCCCGAAACTGTAGATTGCATCTTCATTGGCTATGCACATAATAGTAGTGCTTATCAGTTTCTTGTGCATGAGTTTAAAATCCAAAACATACACAAAAATACGAGAATTGAATCGAGAAATACTTCGTTCTTTGAATATGTATTTCTGTACAGATCCAAAGAGAAAGCAAGCTATTCTAAAAGGACACATGAAACTATAATTGAAAATAGCCATGACGAATAATTAGAAGAGGAGATTGGGGTTGAACCAAGATGCAGCAAAAGAGAAATGACAGAAAAATCTTATTGTCTTAATTTTTTGACCTATATGGTAGAAAGTGAACCTCGAAACTTTCAAGAAGTCGTGA